ACAAATTGGCTCGATAATTTTTCATCATCCAACCATATCATGAGCCATATCCTCAGCGAGACAAAATACCAGCGCATTTGATTAAAATACTAGACTATATAAACCAGTTTACCATATAAGCACAAATTTCTGCAAGAAGCTCCAACGTAGAACACAAGAAAACTAAAAGTGAAAATAAGTTACAGAATCAAATACCACTAGCACCAAAACTTAAAATATCAACCCATGAGTTGAAAACCTGACAACCCTAAGAAAACAAACATGCACACAATAAGCCATGAATGGCAAATCAAACAATGATACAATACTAACACGCTATCGAACAAAATATCCACAAAAAGAAAAAAAAAGGATAATCATATTCAATTTTGACCTAATACAGAAATCTTAGCAAAATCCATCAAAACTGATCCAACTAAGATTCTAGCTTAACTATCACGATGTAGCATTTTTGGAGACAAAACAATATATATGTCAAATCTTGATGGCAGAGCCTATCCGAAAACTAGAAATAATCATGCATTCAGAAAAATGTTACAAATGGTACTTTCAGAAAAATAAAAACAAGCCATATTCATGCTAACCCTTAATTTCATAAAATATTTATACAAGTCATGAAAAATTCATATTTTCATCAAAACATGATAAAATCATTTATAAACTTTCAATTTTAAAGTTCTCTTTATCATTTCGAAAATTTTAGAAAAGGATAGTGCTATGCTACTTACCTTGAGAAACAAGCAAAGATTTCAAGCTAGGTCACTAGAAGGACCAAATCAAAGAGGAATTTCTTGGCGGCAAATAACAGCCAATGAACAGCAGAATTTTGCACCTAACAGCAACTACTAAACTGCAGAAGATAGAGTGGAATTGAATTAGATGGAATATGTATCATAGTAGTTAAAATAGCAGCAACCAGTTGCAGAAATCTGGGCAGATTCACGACACATACATTGCAACAGAATTTTCTCGTTGAAAATAAAAGAACCAGTTTGAATGCTTAACAGGAAAATTAAAGCCCTATCCCTTAGCTTTCTATAGAATCAAGAATCACCTCATTCGAACATGTATAGGAAAAGTTATACCCAAAATACTAACACAGGGTCAGGCTACCAGAATTAGAGAGTTACTCACATATAAACTGGGCTCGAAGGCTCTCAAACAATGAATATAGTTCCGAATCAGACTTTTACATATACTAGTTGATTGACCCGCGTTGCGGGATGTTGTGCCAGGTCCAACCTTGCGTGGTATGGTTATTTTTTAAGTCTCAAGCCTTCATCAAAAGAAAATATTGCATGTCTTTCGCAAGAGTGTGGTTAACAAATATTCAAGTCATGCATTGGATAGAACTATATTGTCTCACTATATTTTAATTTTCATTAACAATTTGTTGGTTCAAATAAAGAGAACTCAGTTATTTTTAAGCAGAAACTTGAGTTTGAATCTTAAAAATTAAAAAAAAAAAAAAAAACGCTAAAAGAACTTATTATTTATAAAGTCCAATGCGACTCAACTTCAAATCAGTAGAGAATAAAATCGCATTTAGATACAAAAAGTTTAATATCAAAAACTATATTTTAATTTTTAATACATGATTGCAAATTAAGTTGTAAGTTCAAAGGGCATTTAAAGTAGGTTTAAGAATAATTAAAATCATATATACGAATTGCCTTTTTGGTTTGCATTGCATACAACTAATGCGAAAAGAAGATTTTTAAATTTGTATTTTTATATCCATCTTAAATATTAAAAATTGATGGATAGAATTGGAATTAAAAGAGGATAAAAATCTTATAAATCTACAATATAATATTTCAATACATATAACGGCCATAACATACTCCACAAAGTAGTTGGTAACACATAATAAAGAACAAATGCAAGAATTCTGCTCTAGAATGAAAGATCATTGCAGCAACAGTCAAAAGCTTTCAGCAATAAATATACGTGTACACGAATGTTAGGTCCACATTCAAGCTCCCATAGCTATTTGCAAGCAACAAAAATAAAAACTTTAGTGAAAGAAGAGTTTATTATGATGTTTATAAACCCATCATGAGACAATGAGATCACTGTAGCAACTGTGAGAGGGTGGTGTTTCTCCTATTAACTATTCTGGTGCTTAAATCTCACAAAAGCAAAGAAACCCAAAAAATGAAAATGAAAAGAGGTAAAACATAGAGGAAAAAAAAAAAAACAAAGAAATGGGGGACATTGAGAAAGGAGATGATAGAGGCTGATAAAAACAAAATACCTCTTCCACCACCTATATCGCCATCTCCTGTTTTGCCTCTCACTATTGGTTTGATTCCCTTTAGAACCTGTACTAAAACCAAGTAACAACAAAGAAGGACAAACAACCATCAATTTAGCAACTTTAACCGCTAAAGCAACATCAAGAAAAGAAACAAAACTGAATTAATCCAAAGAATCTGGTTGACACCCTACAACTTGCAAACATGCTTTTAACTATCCTAACTGTGGAAAGAAAGAATAAGCCTGTGCAATTTGTTAATGGCATGTATAAATCACCTCTGGCTGCAGCTCAATGCAGTTGGAAAAATCAGCCATGAAAAATTTCCATAAAGAAACACTACCCAAAATCAATTTGAGATGAATTGCATACATGTATAAAAAAAGTAGGCAAACCTGTTAGCAATCAAGCCATAAAATTATATAGGCCAAAATCCAAATATGTTAATTACCTTAAACCATAAACAGGCAACCTCATTGGAAAAAAAACCATAACTAAAATAGTTGGTGATGGACATAAAACCTGTCCACAAATCAATTCCGCCCTTCAGACCACTTCAGTGCTTATAAAATTAATAGTTACTTAACTCAACTCTAAACTATGAATGAGATTAAGTCATGGGTAACATTGAGCACAAATACACATGGATGAGTAAATGCAAGACCCAATCAGTATAGATTCAACCAAGGTGCCTAAAATTAGTACAGGCAGTATATAAAGTCACAAACCAAATGAAAATGAATCCATAATACTGAGGTATATGATCTAACTATCAAAAAAAGAAGGCTTTCAAAGTTAAAATAAAAAACAATACAAAAAAGACTCAATTACAACCATATGAATTTCAGAACAAAACAGTCAAAAATCATATGGAGAGAACAATCAGCTACCAATGATCTAAACAAATAAAAATGAAAATCATGCTCTTGTTTCAACAATGTAAATCATTCATGGCAAACCAAAATTAATGAATAACCAGAGTTAGTCTAGATCTGAGATAGCTTGGTTCTATGTATACCTGAAGCTGTGGAATCCCTTGCTTCTATTAACTCCCCTTTTTTTAGTTTCTTCCAATGTTGATAAAATCCATTTACTTCCTTCAGTTTCTTCTTCCAAAGAATTAGGTGGAAACTGCGTGGAAGAGAAAGGAAGTCTGAAGTCTGAAAGGGAAGGGAAGGAAGAAAAAAAACCCTTTTTTTTTTTTTTTAAAAGGCATGTCCTTGACTTCTTACGTGATGAAAGCTGAAAGATCAGAAGAAAGGATTTAAAGCAAACACTCAACATTAACTAAAAATTAAATCACCAAGCGAAAATTTCCATCAGGAACCATCCCCACTGCAGACAGCATAGTCAGAAACGCAGGTAAAAGAAACAGCAAATCATAACCAAATGAATTTCATAACTTGTTCTTGCTAGCACTGTCAAATCCGCAAGCCAAGTCCACACAAAATAAATTATAGGAGAACAATCTGTGAATTAAGAAACTACCTGAAGAGCCAACACAGTCGAAGTCAGTCGATCTAAAAAACCCACCTTTCAAATCCTAAAACCCAACGTTTTCCTGTCAAAATGAACTTAATTCTTGAAACCCAAAACCTGCACAAGAGAAAGAATTCAAAATAAAAAAGCAAAAAATATGTACCTAGTAGACATTAGGATCCACTCGAAGCCTAGAAATGAGCAAGAGATGGGAAATCATCAAATCTGAATTCTAAAAGGAGATAGAGAGTTCGGTGCTCAAATCTCAGCAGAGCAAACAACCCCAAAACACCAAAAGTCAGCTCAAACCGCAGAACTCGACTTTCCCTTTTGATGATTGACGACCATCGACCAGTTTTTACGAGAATCAATCAAACGCAGAAATGGAAATGGATTAGCATAGACACTGCAAAAATACGAAGAGTAAGCCTGCAAACCATAGCATTGCGTTTCAATTTTGTTATTGTAACCGTATATATCGATTTTGTTATTAGAAAGATATGTATTGGATACTAAAATTTTTCGCATATCATTTTAGATTTATTGTTATAAATATATATTTTTATAAATTAAATATTAAATTTTAAAATAAAATAAAATATATTAATATTTAAAATTATTGTATTCTTATAAATTAAAAATAAGTTTAAAATGATAATTTTTAATTCTTAATTTTTAATATATACATATTTTTTCTCTATCCATTTTAAATTAAGGAATTAAAAATATGTGTATTTAAAAAAACTTAACGGAGTAATTAATAAAATGATTAAAAAAAATATAAAGAAGAGACTAAAAAAGTATATAAAAAAACTAAATGATAAAATTATATAAAATATTAAAGTTGAAGATTAAAAATAAAATTTGCTTTTTTTTTAATTTGAATTGATTTGAATTGTAGCGGACAACTGTACCAAAAAATGGAAGATTGACAAGTCAAGATAGTTTGACGTGAGAACAAAGGAGGATTTGTGTGATCGAAATTGCAAGGTTGGCCAAAATGACGTCGTTTTGGTTAGGAATTTTTTTTTTTTAATTTTTGTATATTGTACTGGTTAAATTTCAGTGTACAAGTCGATATGTCGAAATTTTGACCAGTACACCAAAATTTGACGGAAATAATCAGATTTTGACCGAAATGAAATTTATTCTTACTCTATTTGGTTTTCTTTAAAAACCGATATATATCGACCACACCGTCCGGTATGGTACGGTATTTACTTCTTTGTTGCAAACGAAAACCAAGATGAATCAACTTGCCTTTTGTGTCGAAATGACTTAAAAACCACCCCAACATGTGAATTGGAGAAACAGACATAGGAGGGCACAATGGGAAAAGGCCACAAAATGACTAACATGCCCCCATAACAAGTGAAATGGAGAAGCAAAGTTTTGAGGGTAAAAGTGGAAACCTAGTATGAAATGATGAAAACACCACTCATGACTTGTGAAATAGATAGAGGAAACTTAGAGGGTAAAAATGGAAAAATAAAAGTTACTGTAGCAATGTAAGAGAGGGCTTCCACCCATTATCTTATTTGATTCTAGGACAATTCTAAGCCAAAACAAAGGAAAAATTAGCCTCAAACTTACCTCAAACAAACCAAATTTAATGGGCATGATAGCAAGCAAAACACTCAAAAATTCTTGGGCAAACAAGGTAAAGAATAGCAGTTGTTCAGACCAAAATTCATGGCTAAACAAAGTTGTCTCATAAAGTGTTTTGAGTAAGAAAACATGTGAAACATGATTGATTTTCAACAGAAAAATTAGACTTTAACAGGGTAGTTTACAACCACAAAACCAGGAAATACCAAGGGGGGTTTTAAGGCAAAACACAACAGCTACATACAAATGAAATTCTGGGCTATTTAAGGTTGTGTTGAGCATGATTTTAAGTGTGAGAATGGCATGAGTAGTGCAAATTTAAATAACAGAAACACATACTTCCTACTATGAAAACAGTCATAAAAGTCGAGGCTCAACATAGCATATAAACAGAATAGAAGTATATACATGTTGTAACCAGGTTTTTGTAGAAATATTAACACAACACCTTAAATATCACCAATAAAACAGCAAGGTTTGAATATCTAGATCCGTGACTCTTACTTGAATTTTTTATCAGTCATTAATTGACTCCAGAAGGGTGAGATCAATGCTAAGACGCGTGACAAACTCTAGTATTTTCTGCACAAATTCAGGCAGAATTAGGGCTGGAATTTTGATATAGATGGTTGCCTAGTCATAGGTTCAATGGAAGAATGAAACAGGTTCAGTAGAAAAACGAAGATACAAAAGAAATCTTGAAAAAACCTATTAGCCAACATGAAAGAAACCTTATCGTTTGTAGAGAAATCAGAGTTAGGAAGAGATGGAATCCGAGAACTACATGGGGGTTTTTTCATCTTGGGTAGCACATTTAGCTCATCTCTTTCCAATTCCAACCCCATGGTAAATTTACGACATCTTACTTTCAAATATTACCATTGGAGACTTATTATTAATGGCCATGTCTACGAGGGTCTGAGGTTTTTTTTTTTTTATATTTCAAAATCATGTTAAATTTTAATTAATTTGATTTTGAACTGAGTTGAATTCTATAAAGGAAAATTCTCTCAACTGTTATTTATTTATTCACAAATTTTAAAGTTAAAATTTTATTTAAAAAACTTGAAATGCTTTCACTTAAACCAATAAGTCAATGGTAATGGGTTTGACTTAAGATTGAAACAATTTCCAAATAATTAAATATCAATTGATTTACAATTAAGTCCTCAAGTTTCAAAAAAATTAACAATTGAATCCTCCAAGTAAACCTGGCAAATGGCAGGTTGGGTAGGTTGGGTCAAATTCAAGTTGGATCAACATAAGTTACAAGTTATACGAGTTGGATCACTAACGAGTCACAAGTTGATGAAGACCAACCTTAACTCGACCTATGCAAATTATGGGTCAACCTGTGGGTTGACATTTTTTCATTCATCACAATTTGAGCTATAGTTTCTAGCTCATGAATATATTCTGTCCCTAAGATTATATATATAGCACATGCAATATATAAGATAAAATCATCTTTTGGTAGTGATAGAAAAAAAAAAAATCACAGATGCCAAGTATTGCATCTTGTTGTCAAATTTAACACAGCAAACATTCAAATGACAATAAGAGCATAAAGCATAACATCATAAAGCATAACATCATAAAGCATAACTTCATAAAGCATAACTTCATAAGTCTTTAAATTAAAGCAAGATCATAAGTTAAATACGTCGTAACATTACAAGTTAGATCAGTACCTTATCTAACAACACCAAATTATTGTTCAAGAAAAAAAAGTAATAGTACCAAACTTGAATTATTAAAATTTTATGAAATATAAAGTTTGAACATTGAAGTCACTAATTTGAAACCACATAAACTCTAATCTAAGTGTTGAAACTTCTCCTTAAGATAATATTTTCATTCCAAGCTCACTAGTCACTAGAAACAACAAAATTTCCACTAAATTAATATTCATATCCTAGCACCTCATCTTTAGCATGACCAACAGTAGTATTGTCAGTATGGTCACCTAATACAAGATGAATAAACACTCAAAACAATTTCAAAAGCATATCCCAAATCAAGGTTCATCAAATTAGCCACTATTTTAATTTAATTAAAAACCATAGAAAACCATATAAACTTTCATGATTCATGATTAACCATTGCTTCAACTCAATTCATTCTACTTTTGTCTTTTCTTTATACCAATTCCACATGCATACCAACAATATTCTATAGAGGCAAAAAGGTTAGGAGCATATATCTTTCTTTTCTAACAAAACTAGACAGAAAAAAAATTCAAGAATCGAAGATTTTAATTGCAGCCAATCAATTGATAAATGACAGATTCAAATCACACAATCAATTACTATTATTATTATTTTTGCACAACATATCACATAATCAATGAAATATATGGCAAACACTAAGACAAAATAATAAAGTTTAAATAGTAGAAATCTCCATGTTACCTTTTGAAATCCATTCAACAAAGTGCAGGTGTGTAATAATGCCTCTGCATTTTCTGATAAAAAAGAACTCTCAATTTCATCAAGACATGCCCACCCATGTTGAAAGCAGATTCACTAACTACAGTTGTAATTGAGATAGAGAGCATGTCTCTTGCCATTCTAGCCAAGTCTAGAAGACTCTTTTCATTTTCTTTCCAAAAATCAAGGATATTTAAAGGTTGTCAATATGGTTGCCTACCTTCCTCTAAGCATTGACGTAATTGACAGATGTGCACTTTTTCCATATCAAAATTTTCAAAGCCCTACATAAAGGTAAAAAGAAACAAATTAATTAGAGTTAAATGAATTAACTTAAAATAGTTTGAGAAAAATGAAGAAAGTTTAAAAATAAAACAATTATTACCTCCATCAATCCATCTTTATTACCAATAGCTTCATTCACAGTGGTTGTAGGCGTTGTAGGCATTGTGGTATTGTTTGCACTTTCCAACTTGCTACCTTTCATTACATATTCATTATAAAGTTGATACAATCTATGAATACCATGACTAACCTTGGTAGTGCATGTTTCCTCATTTAATATCTTGTAACAATATGTCACAAAAGAGAACTTGTAATGAGGATCCAAAATTATGACAAAAGCTAGAACAAAGCCATAAGAATATCAGTACTTCTTAAATTTGGCTTTCATGTTGGTTGCCATGTCTTGGATGACACTTGATTTTCTCCAACAAGCATAAGTCAATCTTCCAAACATGCTTAAAGTATAAATTTGATGTTGGATATTTCGATCAAGAAAACAAAGTGATGATTTCACTAAAGGGCTATAAAGGTTCACAAATTCTACCAACCCACTTCCAATCTTCTTCATCCAAGGTCCATTTAAATTTTCATCATCCGATTCAAAAGAAGCAAAATCATCTTTATGGATTACTGCCCTCTCAAGCATGTTATGTGTGGAATTCCACCTAGTAGGACAATCTAACTAATCCCTTGCTTAAATCACAACTAGCTTGTTTTAGCACATTCTTCAAAATTTAACATCCTTCCCTTAGTACAAATGATATAGTTTATCCCATCTGTCAATTTTCTAACACTATCATCAATTACTTTCAATCTCACTTGCATAATGAAATTCAAAATATGAGCAAAACATCAAATATGGAAATAATCTCAACTAGACAAGAATGGCCTTTCAAGATTGAGCTGATTACACAAAGCTTCTTGCATGTTATCATTACACCTAGCATTGTTTAAAGTGATTGGAAATATTTTACTTTCAATTCCCCACTCTTTTAGTAGCTCATACACTTGTTTAAACAAAATCCTAGCTGTGTGTGGAGGTGGGACATGTAGAAAACTCAAAATCAATCTATCTAAATTCCATTCATCATCAAGAAAGTGAGTAGTCAAACAAAGGTAACCTTGAGTA